CAGCCATAATCCCTTCACCATCCCAGCACATCCACAGGAGCCCTGCCCAGTTGCTATGTCAGCCTTGATAATCCCAGACAGAAGACAATCAAAATGACAAAGAACTTGCATATGGTAGTGGATTCACCACAGACTGAAACAAAGGACAATGATCAGATCTTCCCTCTGGGGGCAGGAAACTGCAAACTCCCCTTTGTCACCTGGAAAGTACTCATGGGGAGGGGGAAAGGAGGAACCAGCTAGGTGACTGGACACTCAGGTTACCACCACAACTCCTCCCTCAACCCCTCCTTTCTGTAATGTATGCATGATGTCAACCCCTTCTGTAATGTATGCATGATGTTTCTGGGGGTGGGCTTGACCTGGAGGAGGGGAATTTCAAAAGTTTTTATAAGGTCTTGCAGGCCATTGTTCTGGGTCTTTTCCTCTCTCTTGCTAGTGAGGGGAACACCCTGTTGCAACAGTTCAATAAAGGCCAAGCCTACAGGCTGCTGTTTTGCTCCAAGTTATCCTGGTTGGTGTCTTTGTTTTTGTCCAACTGTTAACGGAAAAATCCGAGGGCTCTCTTGGACAAAAACAAAGACACCAACCAGGATAACTTGGAGCAAAACAGCAGCCTGTAGGCTTGGCCTTTATTGAACTGTTGCAACAGGGTGTTCCCCTCACTAGCAAGAGAGAGGAAAAGACCCAGAACAATGGCCTGCAAGACCTTATAAAAACTTTTGAAATTCCCCTCCTCCAGGTCAAGCCCACCCCCAGAAACATCATGCATACATTACAGAAGGGGTTGACATCATGCATACATTACAGAAAGGAGGGGTTGAGGGAGGAGTTGTGGTGGTAACCTGAGTGTCCAGTCACCTAGCTGGTTCCTCCTTTCCCCCTCCCCATGAGTTTGCAGTTTCCTGCCCCCAGAGGGAAGATCTGATCATTGTCCTTTGTTTCAGTCTGTGGTGAATCCACTACCATATGCAAGTTCTTTGTCATTTTGATTGTCTTCTGTCTGGGATTATCAAGGCTGACATAGCAACTGGGCAGGGCTCCTGTGGATGTGCTGGGATGGTGAAGGGATTATGGCTGACCAGAAACCAAGCCACCCCCCTTTGATAGTCCTTGTCACATGGAGTAAAAAATGGAACAGTGCAAATCCGATGTATGGTTGATTTTCTATGAATTTATAACAGAAATGTGGCGTATGTAGTGTGTGTGAGTGTGAGTGTGTGTGAAGTTTGTGCAAACAGAATGATTGGGGTGGGGGGTTTCCTGCTACAGTAGAAAGTTAGCAAGTCTAGCAGAAGGCTAGGCAAGAACCCGCTCACTTAACATCTCGCTTTCTATGAAAAGGAAAGCCTCCCACAAACAAATGCTCTCCAGATGTTTTAGACTCCAATGCCCATCATCCCTGATCATCGGCCATGCTGGCTCGGTCTGATGGGAGTCCAATGACATCTAGAGGCCACGAGGTTGGGGATGGGTGATACAGCAAGTAATTGTTAATTGGGAGCAACATCCAATCATGCTATCCCCCCCCCACACACACTTTCAGGCTCAAGCAGAACAGTCCCAGAAAAACAGTTTCCCTTGTAAGCCGCTCTGAGCCCGGCCTTGGCTGGGGAGGGCGGGGTATAAATAAAAATAATTATTATTATTATTATTATTATTATTATTATTATTATTATTATTATTATTATTTTGTTGTTGTAAGTTGTTTCTGTTTAGTAAGCTTAGGTCCTGAAAGAATTCGGAGGAACTAGCTAAGTAAAAGTAAATGTGGTTGAAGGCCAGGCTAGATGGTATGCTAGCTCCGTATCTGTGCCCTTAAATGCAGGGTTGTTCTTCTAACAACATAAATTACCAGCGTTGTGGATGTGTGCTTCAACACTTCCCTCCCCTTCCCGTGGCACTGATTTGGACTGGGAGTCCTGCACTGAGAATTTGCTTCGATGGAAGTTTCCTGCCCCTGGGCAAATTGTCAATATTGCAGATATTAATATTGTGCAGCTTGAAGTAACTAGAGGCATAAAAATGGACTCCATTTGGAATTAAACATGGACTAAACCCATTAAATTGTTCAAAACTTTACTTGCACAAGTTTCTTCAAAACAGAACAAAACCCAGTAAAGGATACATCCAAACAATTGTACAGTATCTTGTATTTGTTAAGCATAGGCTCAGTGTTTTATAAGAAAATAACTTATAATCAGCGCTGACAAATATAGCTCTCACACACAGGCTCCATTAGCCTGCATTCTAGCCCCAAAGGCTATGGAGCTCCAACAGAGCCCGAGAACAAAGACTCAGCTACCACCCTTCCAAGATGGCAAATTTGCAATTCAACAGCCTCCCATGTGATCTAAAGTTAAACACCTCCTCAGAGCTACCAGAGAACAATAACAGTTAATTATCAACCTATCTAGGAGCTCAGAGATCCCTTTTTGCTTTTCTTCAGCTTTCAGCAATACACATAGGGTTGCCATATTTCAAAAAGTGAAAATCCAGACACAAAATCGTGTGTGTGTGTGTGTGTGTGTGTGTGTGTGTGTTGAGGCCCCCCCCCAAATCACAAAAAAAATGAAGTTTTTGAGGTTTTTTAAAAAATGAAATCCCCCCAAATCTACACTTCTGACATGGGTTACCATGGATTTTCCTAGACATTTCAGCAATTTCCACCTGAACACTGTTTCTGGCAGCTGAATCCTGGCAATTCTGGACATATGGCAACCCTACATTCTCTATTTCAGTGTCAATTAAACAATTATACTTAACATTCAATGTATGGGAGGAGAGCTAATTTGGATTGGGAGCATAATGGGGAGCTAAGGGTTAAAATCAGGAGCCTGATCAGCCCAAGGACCACATTCTTTCATGGGTGACCTTCTGGGGGCCACATACCGACACACATCACTTAATGCAGGCAAGCCAGAGGCATTACCACAGCTGAATGGCAGGTTCCTGTCAGATAAAATCATTAGAGGAAGGTTCACAGCAGGGGCAGTGAGAGATGTGGCTGGGCAGAAGCCCAAGGGTGAGATACAGGGCAGTGAAGGGTCTCATTTGCCCCCTGCTCCAGTCTGGGCTTTCCCACCTTAGGTTAAAGTTTCCTACCACCCATTGTGCGGTCCAAATCTGGATTAGGTGTTGTTGTTGTGTGTAGATATCAATTTTTTATGATATGCAATGTCCAGACACTCTATATTCCAAAGAAAACTTTACTTTCAAAAATATAACTTAGAAGAATATATCTACAATCTCATGCCTGGGTTTCTCCCTATTAACATTTAGGGATGTCCTCTGTCTGTTTCACCTCAGACAGATCACACTAACACACATTATCCTCAGCAGTATCTTGAGAAACCTCTCACAGCAGCCATTACCCCTCACACATACACAGAGAGAAGAACAGAAAGCAGTTAAAAATGACAGTTACTTTAATAACAGTCACAACAGAATAGAATGGCTCTCTCATGTGACTCAAAGGCAGCCAATCACAGGAGAGCTTCTATCAAAGGGGGAAAAAAACCATGCTAAAAATACACAACAATTCAACATAAGCAAACATTCCTGTTTCAGAAAATTAAACCATTATCCTTAACAGGTGTCCCATATGTTAACCCTTTCTCCCGCAATTGAGGACACAGACACAGAACTAATGTGTATGGTCTAGTTTGGTCAAAAGGAAGGAACATTCTGCCTTTTAAAGACCTGTCATATGTATAGTGCATAAGACCTGCTGGCCTATATCAGATCAAAAGTTCAGTTAGTTCAGTAGGCTTCCTATGCATGCATTTCAGGATGATTAACATCACCCTGCCCCTCAACCAACTTGCCTCTCAGCGCACGCAACTCCTGCAAGTTCCTAATTGTGAGATATTCCTGGCGCTCACAGAGCTAAGTATAGTGTTCCTGCCTTTTCCAATCCTTTCTCACCTTCTGAAAAACCTTGATTTGCTGTATTCCATTTTTTAAAGGGGTCGGGGGAAGATTTCTCCCATCTGCCATCCTACTTGTGTTACTGCGTTACAACAACCAATAAAGTAGCACCTTTCTCCAATATTTTAACAAATGGAAATATTTTTGTCTTTGAGTCCAGATGCACAGATTGTTGCTTCCTGGGAATGGAACTTGCACTTTTGTTGATGTTCAGGCCACAACTTGCTGAGCACTTTAAGCGTTAGAAAGTCATGTACTTGAAGAATGAAAGGAGAGACCATTAACTTTCCTGGCTTCAAACACAGATTTTTTTTAAAAAAGTTAAACGTCTATATTTGGGTCCTAGTGTATACACTACTACTGAAGGTATAAGCACAAAATTGTTTACATGTCACCCAGAGACATTCTCTTGTACAAAGCCTGGATGCAGCATATGAAATACACTCCAAAGTGACTCTGAAACATTAGCAGAGACCTAAAAGCTTAAATGCTGTTCTGGAGAACCACAAATTCCCCTATTCACCCCACCTCATGGTAGACTTCAGTAACTCTCAGTATGAATTCAGCTTTCCACAGAGGAGTTTCAGTCAACTCTATAGCAAAACCTCCTCAAAACAACTATCTATTATCCAGTGATGGCCAACCTGGAATTCTGATATGGTCCTAAAGGCACTAGTCAGAAAATGGCTGCTGCCATCACAAAATGGCTGCCACCACCAAAAGAGTATGAGAGGAAAAGGGACCAGAACATAAAATGGTTCAAACATGGCAAATAAAAAACCTATTCTTATTTTTTAAAACGAAACATGTTTGAAAAACTTTCTTCTTTTCCATATACTGTTAAGTCTTGGCTGTTATGGAGTTTTTCCCCCCCAGTGTGTCGTTTAGAGCAAGAAAATAAAAGGTAACTGAATCAAGGTATAATTTTGAATTGCTACAGCCAGCCATACACAGGCATATGATTCTACGAAATAAAAATACATATTCATGCTGGCAATGTGGGTTTTTTAAACTACATTTGTGGAAGAAAAACATCATAAATACAATGAAAACACACAGAAAATACTCACCGGAGTAGTAGCTGAACAATTCTGGCCCAGAGTAGTGTGATGTTTGAGGCTGAACGTCATCTACAAGCTTCTCAAAACTCTGTATGAGGAGGCAATAACAATACTTGTAATGTTTCTGCATTTCCACTGAGCTCTCCCCTGCCCCCAAAAGACAACCTTGGAGCAATCCCTGCTGTGGGGCAAGCAGCAGAAACAAAAGAAAAGAAAAGAAAAAGGGATGCCCTACCCTCTCACTCACAGCCCCACCCCTGTGTTCAATGGAAGCCTCTCCCAAGCAGCTGCCTGCTCCATGTACCAGTAGGTAGCAAAACAAAACACAGCATGAGTGGGAAGGTTCCTGCATTTGTTTCCTCACCTCAACATTTTCCAAAAGTTCCTCAAGCAGCTGTCTGCCCAGTGTTCCACATGGCCAGAAGGCAGCAAAATGAAGGTTTCCTGTGCTTCTTCCACTACCTCAACACACTTTTTTAAAAAAGGCTTGTCAAGAAGCTGACGCCACCTGCTCCATATCAGGCAGCAAAACAAAACAGGTGGATCCAAGGAATAGGAAGTAAGAAAGAAGCAGGGGAAATGCAATAAAGAGAGGAAAACAACTCTTTAGAACCCCAGGGATTCCTATTCCCCGATGTCCAAACAACTCACTTATCAATCACAGCTGTGACTTCACTCATTGGTTAAAAACACGGACAGGTGAGAGGAGCTGGGCTGCTACATTTCACAGAAATTGCTTGGAAGAGTACCTGCACGTTTTGTTTCATGACCCTTTTTCTAGGAGGGCTAGAGACCTACTTTTTAAAACAAGAAAACTCAGAATCTGGGGCTTCTGCCTGAAGGTGCCAATGAAGGCTTCCTGGGCACCATGGCACCAAGGGCCACTAAGTTGGCAACTTCCAAATTACCCCAATTGTCCCCTTTATGGTCATATTAGCAAGGCCAGTCCAGCCATTAGGTGAAGTGAGGTGGCTGTCTCAGGCAGTAGATGACGAGGGCAGGGGGTGTGGCAAAGTGTTGGATTGCAGAGTGGGGTGTAAGCTAGTCTCCATCTCCAGTACTGAAATAAGGCTCAACTCCCCAGCTGGTTGGTTTCTGTACAAGGAATGGGAGCAGTGGCCTCAGGCCGCAAAGTGTTTTGGACCAGCCCTGCATATTAGCCATCTGACTACCGTATATTCACATCATTTGACATAAAACGATAGATAAATGAGTGAAAGAATTCTTTTCAACAGACAAAGAGAAGACATCAGCCTTAGAGTGGGCAATTCTGCACCCAACAAAAGGAAAGGAAGTGTCTTGCAACTACTAGGAAGACCAGAAAACTACCAGAAAACGGTACCACTTCCATCATCAGCGCACAAGGAGCTAAATGTGCAGTTTCTCCTAGGCATGTGGTGTGCAATGAAGAAAAGCCTTAAGAAAGCAGCTGTCAAGCAATGGTTCCCAATGATGACGGGGTGCTGAGTCTGATGGACATTGCACAACGGTTGCTGTTATTCTATATTGCTTCTTGTTTTGTGGATTAAGTGTCAAACAGGGAGCCACCTTCACCAACTGCCTATTATAATCACACCTGGCACTGTTGACCTACTTCCCTTCTTTCATGCCTTCACAGGGTCTACCTTTTCAGACATAGGAAAGAAACTCAATAAGGGCTAAACCAGTCATTTTACACATCTTATTTTTTCTGTTTAAAATTATAGGTGGGTGGGCATGGGTCGGGGTGGGGGAAGAGGCAATTCTTAGAAGGAGGTGGTACACAGGATGAGGGAATACTTCTCTCATCATTCACCCACCATGATCAGAATGAGTTTCTCTCTCTCTCTAACACACACACACACACACAGAGAGAGAGAGAGAGAGAGAGAGAGAGAGAGAGAGAGACTGGCTAAAAGCCATAGGGAAAAAGGTCTTCTTTGGTATCAACGGTGAGAAGCCAAATTGTATTTTTTTAAAAACAACAACACTCATTTGGGGATGGGGGCATTTTGAAGTGAGGAACATTTTGCCCTGCAGAGCACTATTAGGGGTTTATTGATTTATGGGAGAAGCTAGGGGGAAGACTTCCATACCTACATTCTAGGACCACTTTGGAAAATGTCCAATACATTAAAAACAGAATACAAGCCTGCTGGCCACACCCAACCTCTCTCACCACCAAGGCAATACAAGAAGTGTAAGAGAATCCATGCAAGTAACACTGACACAACCCCTCACACACACTTAAGTAGAATAATAGAAGCATAACCACCCGACCCCACCACCCTTGCCACTCCCCCTCTCCCCCCTCTCCCCCTTTCTTTTCTTCTTCTTCCTAATTGTTTAAACCAATTCTTAAACCAAGGACTTATACATTGACCACTAATAATTAAACATGTTGTAGATATTTTTCCACATTTATTTTGCTATTTTTGTGATATACAAATGACATGAGAAAACTTGGTATACTTGTTTGTATAACATTATTCTTGTTTATAAAACCCAATAATAATAATAATAATAATAATAATAATAATAATAATAATAATACAAGCCTGCTGGATCAAGCCAATGGCCAATCTAGTTTAGCACCCTGTTCTCACAAATGCCTGTGGGAAGCCTGTAAGCTGGTCATGAGTGCAACAACCTTCTGCCCACCTGTGATTCCCTGCGGCCAGTATTCAGAGGCATAACGCAGTGCTGAGCTACCACGTTACAGTCCACTACTCTCAGCAAAGGTCTACATGTACAATATGTACAGCCACTGTTGACTTCATGTGCCACCTTTTGGAGGGCATTCATTCAGTTTTCACATATACCCAACAAGCAACTAGCATTTTCAAAGCTGCGCTAACCATTTGTGTGTGCATCGTATCCACACAAGCCTCAGCCAGCTCTGCTCACATATTCTCAAGTGCTCACTGTGGAGTTTTCACTCCACACAGCACTTTTTGTCATACTGAAAACATTCTTCAGTGGAATAGCATTTCACCAGCGGAGCATTACAATGATTGAGTGTTGAGCATTACGTTATGATGATAACGAAATGTGCGCTAATGCTAAGGTCCTGTTAACATTTAGAAATGCAGAGAAAAATCAAAGGGCTAGTTTCAGAGTGGAAATATAAATGGCCACCTCAGTGCAAAGACACACAGTGAGAGCACATACACTACTTGTCTCTGCAGTGCCTCTTACATGCTCAAAAGATGGATGGCACACACCAAAGTAACTACAAGGACAAACACAATAAGTGATGCCATAATAGCAGAGAAGCCCTTGGTGACGGAAACGTACAAGGCATTTTTATCTTTCATAATAGTGAAGCACTCACATATTAGTGATGAATACCAAAGAAATTGCTATGATAAATATACTAATACAAATGTCTCACCTGCCACTCGGGAATGGGAAAGCAGGTGGCAGGGTAGCTAAGCTATCTGTAGATGGAGCAGCTGAGCCAAAATAATAAGTTTGCACATCCCACAGCCATCTCAAAGACACAGAATACTGGATTTCATTCCTTCCTAAAGGTCAGTCTCAATCAACTCACAGGGCTTTTGCACAGGAGAAGTGTGATCCAGAGTGGCTCGAGTGTGCCCACAAAAGAGGGTTCAGATGTGTGTGCTCAAAGGGATGCATGTGCTTGTATTATGTGCTTGAATTATACTTTATAGAACGTGGGTGGCACTGTGGGTTAAACTACAGAGCTTAGGGCTTGCCGATCAGAAGGTCAACCCGCGATGGGGTGAGCTCCCGTTGCTCGGTCCCTGCTCCTGCCAACCTAGCAGTTCGAAAGCACGTCAAAGTGCAAGTAGATAAATAGGTACTGCTCTGGTGGGAAGGTAAACGGTGTTTCCGTGTGCTGCTCTGGTTCGCCAGAAGCGGCTTAGTCATGCTGGCTCCCTCCGCCAGTAAAGCGAGATGAGCGCCGCAACCCCAGAGTCGTCCACGACTGGACCTAATGGTCAGGGGTCCCTTTACCTTTTTTTTTATTATGCTTTATATATTCTGTGAGCTGCCCAGAGTAGCAGGAGAAACCCAGCCAAACGGGCAGAGTATAAATATTATTATTATTATTATTATTATTATTATTATTATTCCCTCCCATTGAAGTGAATGGGAAAGCCCATGTGCATGGGGACACCATGTAGACATGAGACTAAATACACTGCTCTGCACCATGGGGGTTACTGTGATTTTGTGGGAAATGCATTTGCCTAGCAGCAATTTCTATTTGTCTTTGGAGATTTCCATGACTCACATGGAGAAGTGGCAGGTACCTGATATCTGTCCAAAGAAAGACATGGGCCCCTCTAGCTGACATTTGCCTCTGTTATCTGAGCCTCGTGCAGTGGGTTGAACATAGAGAGTGGCCCTTATACTGAGCACTGGCTCAGCTCCCAATATCTGATCTGCTCTTGATGGCCGTGGCTCTCTGAGGCTGCAAGAGACATCTGTTACTTGAGATCCTTGTATCTGGAAATGCCTGGAATTGAACCTGGGACCTTGTGCATACCAAGTGTTTGCTCTACCTTACAGCTGTGGTGATCCAGGCATGGCCAAAAGCAGCCTAATGCTGGTAGAAGACAATGTAGGCCCAGTGGGAGGACATGTAATGTCGTAGGTGAGAATAGTCCCTGTGCCAGCACTTAAAACATCATCTCACGTCTTGATGTCCCTTCTCAATTTACTTGGCCTCTCACACACACATTTATTTCTTCTTATTGCACCTCTGAGTCCAAGCTGGCTCCTTCAATAGGTTAAACACACACACGCACACACAAAAATTAAAATGAAATAAAAACAAATTATGAAAAGCCATTTCCCTGAAGGTGATCCCACAGATGACTGAAGCAGCATCTAACCCATTGAATTAAGCAAGTAATTTCAAGACCATTTCTCCTTTCCCTCCACCCCCATCTCTCTGCGGTAAAGATCACACAGACAAACAAGGCAAAGATGAAAAGAGGATATAATGTGAAAGGGGGGGGGAGAGCAAGGACGAAGTGATGGAGAAAGTTCCTGCAAAGACAATCAAACCTCCCCTTTGGCACAAACAATTAAGACGTGATCTTGTATATGTCATTTCCTTAAGAACGTTCTGTTCCCTGAACTGTATATTCTCTGAATGGTATGTCAGTTATTTATTATTTATTATATTATATTTTGCTGGATAGAAAAAGCTGAAGTTCCATTAAATTAAAAATAGAACTGCAAATAGGCCTGGTTTGATCTCTGTGGCATCTATAGCAGAGTAACAAGAGTAATTCCAGCAATTAGATGTTAATTGATGTCTGCGCATATCTATTCCTAGAAACAGCAAGGCCGTGTATGGCATAACTAACATCATTAAACAGCCTTGTCCCCCCCTCCAGGCTTAGCAGAAGCTGAGCTTGAGCGGAGGCAACTCACCCAGAGTTGCTGCACCAAGGATGAGGCAGGCAGCAGGTGGCTGGGGAAGAAAGCCTGCAAAGAAGAGACCCCTACAATCCGCTTGGAGTCAGGCTGATCACACGCCCCCTTTAAAAATGCAGAGACTGTGTCGTTCCAAGCTCCTCTAATTATGCATCTTCTTTATTAGTTTCATGAACCTTTCGGATATGATTTATCCATTCTTGCTGCTTGCCTGCCTTGGTCCTTGTGCTCTGCATGATGAGCTGGGGGTGAGGATATACTACGGCCAGATCACGTATTTAGCTGTGTTTTTCTGAAACATAACCATCCGGGAAATTAGCAGGAGAGACATCAGGAGACACTGCCCACATATTTTCAAATTTTCAAATGTTTCTCAACACGAGGATGTCCCGGTTTGCCTGTCGTTTTTTTGAAAAAAGAATTGAGTCTGTTCCTGTCCAGTTGGTGAGATACACATTTTAGAACAAATGGATAAAAAATAAAATGAAGTGAAGCAGCTAGATCATGGGCATTAGGGGGCAAAATGCCAGAGAAGCCTGTTCTTTCTTTATTAATCCATCTAATTAAAAAAGACAATGGGCCACGTCAACAGAAATGGGACCTTTGGACCAGTTTTAATGTCACCATAAACATGCCTTGCTGCAGCTTTAGCAGACGTTACTGGGGCTTAATGGGAGTTGTAGTCGAAACATCTGGATGGCTTCAGGTTAGGAAAGGCTAGTTTACCGTGATGGTAATTAGCTGCAGTGAGTCTTAAGTTCAGAGCCTTGGCTTTACTTTCCCACTGCAACCACAAGGTGCCTAGGAGGTTCCACTCCTGTTTTTGATTAACTGCACCATGCCATTTTGTCTGAATGGACTTACGCCATCATGCCAAGAATACTCCCTCCCTGGACCTCACACAAGCTCTGCACAGGTCTAGGGTAGCATGTAACAGTATCTAGAAGGAAGTAACAGCTGCCTGGAACCTCAATCAGGAACCTGTGAGAGAGTGAGAACATACTTAAAAATGGAAAGCATAAGGCTGGTGGTCAACAAGAGGTTTAAAGACTCTCTCAAGGCAAATCTAAAAAAAATGTAGTATAAACACCGACAACTGGGAAACACTGCTCTGCGAGTGCTCCAAATGGAGAACAGCCTTTACCAAAGGTGTCATGGACTTTGAAGACGCTCAAACTCAGGATGAAAGGGAGAAACACACTAAGAGGAAGGCATGCTTGGCAAACCCTCACCATGATCAGTTCCTGCCCGGAAACCTATGTCCCCACTGTGGAAGGACATGTGGATCCAGAATTGGCCTTCACAGTCACTTATGGACTCACTGTTAAAACCGTGTTTATGGAAGACAAACTTAATCGGCTACGAGTGATCACCAAAGAAGAAGACAGGTTCCACTTGTGTACTGTATTTTTATCTCACCATTCCCCCAAGGAACTCAGGGTGTTCCTGTCCTCACAACCACCTCATGAGGTAAGGTAGGCTGAGAAGGAATGCTTGACCTCAGGTCATCTAGTGAGCTTTGTGCCTGAGAGGGGGTTTACCAAGCCAGAGCCCTCTCATCATGCTGGCTGGCCATTTTCAGTAAAGGAGGGCTACCTTTGGAACTGAGCATGACCAAGACTTGAAAATATTTAAGATTTGTATTATTGTATACTCTGGTTTTTGTTAATGTTAATTATGTTAGAGCATGGTTAGACAAGTGTGTGCTTGAGGTAAGGCAGCCTAAAACAGAAGGTTCTATGGTCTTGGATTGGGGAATCAGTGTACTAAGAACTCCTCTTAGAAAACCAATGTGACCTAAATTCTACATTGATTCTGAGTATGACTTTTTATACAGTGACGCTCGAGCTTTGGAACACCCAAAATGAACACTT